TTTTTTGTAGTTGTTGTTTTTTTTTAAGATTAACCTTGTTAAGACTGGCATTACCCACCCAGCTGGATTGTGGATGTATTTATCAGAGTGCTGCGTGTTGACCTTGTTGTGTATCTATGTTGATTTGCTCATATTTATTCACATTATTTACAGCCTCAATTTGATTTTGTGGATGTAACCAGCAGTCACAACCCAAAACAACATTAGCCTGTGATTGTGTGGCGTTTCTCCATTTCGCTCTGTTTCGCTCTCCACCGGCTCCTGAGGGAAATCTCTCTCCGTGGCTTCTGAATCCTCCAGAGCCGTTCAGTAGGTAGCTGCCGTCAGTTAGTGCAGCGCCGGGCTTGCAGTGAGTTTTAACAGAGGTCATTTATTTAAATGCTGCTCGCTGTGGATAAAAACAAGACAATTACAGGCAATTTACCGCTGTGTCTGTTTCTGCAGTCAGTGTGCAATGCAGTGCAATGCAAGCAAATGTCGACATAGAAAATGTCAAATGTGTCTAGAATCAGTGTCAAACATGGTGGGCCAGAAAAATAAATAAATCGATAAATAAAATGACGAAAAAATCAATCTGGTGAATTACACAACAAAAACAACAAAACAAAATATTTCTAGCGTTTCCAACACGCCCACATAAATCCAAGCAAAGTGTCACCACTCTTTCAACATGTATTGTCGCAGCCACTTTGATGTTTATGTGGGAACAAGCTTTCAGAAATATTTCCAAATGATGCAGCCAGTCAGCTTCTTATTGGTTTTTTTGTTTGTTTTTTTACATATTAGAGACTCTCTTCATTAAAAAAGAAAAAACCTGAACAAGACAATAAATTGCAATAAAATGTGGGAGTAATTTCTGGCTTTCAGACTTCTTTCTGCAGATGAAAGATGATTGGCAGCGCGAAGGAAGGAATGATGTAAAAACACTCAACGTTAAAATGACAGTAAAATATTCAGACAAAGCCATATCAAGGCTTCACTTTTACCGAGATGGATGATCCAGGCTTTTCTGATTTTTAAGCCGCCGATGATTGTCCTTCATATTGATGAGATTTGATGGCAGCAATTGGTTTCTGCACACGGTGTGACTAATGCCCTGCTATTTTCAGAAGACATCAGGAAAATGGACAAGACAGGGGCCGGTTTTTAACAATAGAGTTATAACTAGCGCACCGGTCCCTCGTGTGCCGCCGCTTTAATGCTTCATCCTCCCTTTTGTTCCGTTTCTCAGGAGAACCTGCAGACTCTCGGGGCTGAGATCGAAAAGCTCATAAAGCAGCAGAGGGATCCCGAGGACGGCGTGAGGAGGAAGTGACACGTCCGCCTCACAGGCCCGAGAACTATTTGAGGACCTCAGTTTGTTTTTGTTTTTTACACGCATGAAGAATGAGTTGAATGTCTAAGTGCCAGCAGCCTGTTTCGTGAAGAAGCACTCAAACTCTGTTTCTGTCCATTTGGGGGAAAACAAGTTATCTAAACCTACTTGAATGATCTCTATTCCATCCATATTGTAAAACTCCCTCTATTTTTTGCCTCTGACACAACGAATCTTCCTCTGGCTCACCTCTGGATCACCCCCCCCCCCCCCCCGAGCCACACCAAGAAGACTCTTAACGCCAGTCGCTTCTAGCTTGAAACTTTTAATTGCCTTGTAAAATAATTGACTTCATTCTGAATGTATAGCAAATTCTACCTGGAGTGTAGCTAAAAGAAAAACAAGAGGCAAAGATCCTGACATTCTGACACATTAGGCTCCACAGATCTCCATCCATCATACGGTAAATACACTGAGATGATCTCATGGCCAGCATGTTCTCTCTGTCTCCAAGCCAAATGTATTATTGTTATTATTGCTGTTATTTTTTTAAAGACTGCTTCCTCAGCTCGACAGCACGCCACTCCATATTTAAAGGTAAACCTGAAGAAAACAGATCAGCCGTGGCTGGTGCAAGATTGTGAACCAAGGTTCTTCACATCAGCAAGACCTGACCATCTGTGCGACACCGCTGCTAGACTTGAAAGGAAGCAGACTGCTTCAGTTTCCTCCTGGCAGCCATCACCAAATCCTAGAAGCAGTCCACAACGTATTTTCACTTATTTTCTTTTAGGTTGGGTTAAAACTGAGTTTTATTTTAGTACACGTGATTTCATATCTGTTATTCTTTATCACTCACTTTCCTGTGGATTTCTTTTTTTTTTTTTTTTTTTTTTGCTCTCAGTTTAAATGAATGAATACCTCAAACATTTTAGTCCTTAACCTTAGTGTTTAAACTCAGATTGTAGGCAGTTCATTAGCATCAGTTGGCAGTAGCCTGTCTAATCCAGACAAGATGTGTATGTCTCGGCTTTCCGGCGTCATTAGCATTCCTCATATTTTTGGCAGATGCTCAGTGTTTGGAAACTTTTTTAGCACCGTGTGTATAATATGATTTGGTTGGAGGTTGGGGGAGAAAAAAGAGACTGAAATGTTTAGGTATTCTTGTCACACTCCTCTTTTTTCTTCTTCTTTTTTTTTTTTTGTAGCGTCACTGAGTCCATTGAAGTAAATCAAATGTAGATGAATCAAAGGGAGAACAGGAGATCTGTAGCTATAGCTCAGGAAAGCCAACAGAAATATATCCAGGGACAAAGTGCAATGCTGATCCTATTTGTTTTTCTTTTCTTCTCTTTTTTTTTTGTCTTTTTTTTGTGTTTCTGAACGTGACTGTCTGTCTCCATGTGGTCTGTTTATCGCTCATGTCCGTGCAACAAGCACCTGTCCCAGTGTGTGTGTGGATATTTTAAATGGTGTGTGCATGGCTGCATGTGTGCCTTTTTGTTAACCTCTCGAGCCTCGTTGTGTTTACACCTTGTGTACATGCTTCAGCTGTCGGGGCTTATAGGCTTTAACCGGAGTGACCATGGAGTTTGTTCCACCGAGAGGGAACGTGCGATTTGCATTTAGAGCAGAGTCTGTCAGCCAAACGAAGACGCGCGCACGCACACACACACCTGCAGCTCAGCATCCCCGAGCTACACACAATAATGCTTTTGTCTCTCGCTGACAGCTATTTAAGTAAAAGAGATACACATTCGCAAACACTTTGGATGAAGGGAAGAGAGCAACTCAATTTAACAATGCCAGTCTCTTTTCAGTTGGTTTGATCTGATTTAAAAGCTGTCACAAAAGATAAGCCTCCATTTCTTTTCTTTTTTTTTCTTCTTTTTTTTTTCCACAGTCTGAAACGGGCTTTTATGGGTCACGCCAATTCCCCCCCCCCCAATTCACCCTGAGGCGATGTTAAAATGGACCACTATGTTAATAAAGATGAAAGTTTCCAGGATTGAATGCGCGGAGTCTTTAAAGCCTCTCTATTTCTGCACAGAGGTTTCGGTGTGTTGACTTTTTTATTTCATCCGAACTGACTTCATTGCGACGTGAGCTCAGTATGCAAGCGTGCAGGTAGCAAACCTGGAGTTTGTGTCTTCATTCTGGGTGTTATTAGCCTTTTTTAGCTGATTTTCAGTGAAGTTGCATTTTTGCAAATTATGCCAAATTTTCATGCATCTTTAATCAAGAAGTAGGTGCTTGCTGCTGAATAAGGTGATTAACAGTCTTGTATTTTGGCAGTTTGCTTCTGGCACAGAAGCATAATACAGCCTATGCAATACAGTCACATGGGATTGTCCAAGTAAATCCTCCGAGGCATGCTAATACGCGGCGTCTGATTTTTGGTCATAGCGTGTCAACTCGAGAGAGGCGACGTTCTCGCTGATCCAACACGATTCCACAGCCTTGAAATGAAGCCATGCTGCAGCATTGTGCGGATGACTAAAACAAACCTCACGTTTCCCTTCATGAATATGAAAACATGGTGTTCAGTATGTGCGAGTGCCGATCTGTAAAAGAAAATGAGAGAAGTTGCCATTATTTGTTTTCCTGCTGTGCAATGATTCCCTTTGATCTGTCTTGTGGAATATTCAAACTGTGATTATATTATACATTTGTAGATATGCCATTGTGTAAAATTCTGATGAGATGTTTTAAAAAAGAAAAAGATTGTGGAGGATGTACATACTATGTTTTCAGGGAATAAAAGGAGATGAGTCTTAAGTTCATCTTGAATGTTCTGCAGCAGTCTTGCTTTGTGCTTTTCCTCCTTCCTGTTGACACTAACATCTGTTGTCCTGGTTTCTGTTTATCGGGCGTGGTGGAATTGAGCCTAATTCAGGTGACAAAGCGATTTTTGCACCGAGATGACCTCCCTCTCAGTGACTTTTGTCAGCTTTAGGTCCCACTTCAAAAGCAGCGGTGTCAGCGGTACTTGAGGTCATGCACGTCGCTGTGCCGCTGTCCATCAAAGCAATCTTCCATTCAGAGGGTTTAAAGTCCAAACTGCTGCTTCACAGACATTCTCCTCACTGGACCTGAACGGCGCACCAAGCTGGAGCACGTCCATTTAAATATAAATATAAGTCCATACATTTTGGCTAATTTCCAGAAAGCAAATAGTATTTTTCCCTTTTCGCACCTTTTTAAATATGTGGACTAAGTGTCAACAGAACTTTGTTAGGTACACATGTTCTACTGCTTGTGAATCTAAATATCTAATCAGCCAATCATGTGGCAATGCATTTAGCGATGTAGACATGGTCAAGATGACCCACTGGAGTTCTAACTGGGCATCAGAAAGGTGATTAAAGTGATTTTGAATGTGGCTTTTCTGACCATTTCAGGAACTGCTTCTCTGCTGGGATTTTCCCACACAATCATCTCTACGGTTTACAGAGAATGATCAGAAAAAGAGAAGATATCCAGTGAGCGGCAGTTCTCTGGGTGAAAATGCCTCGTTGATGCCAGAGGTCAGAGGCTGCTCTGAACTGATAGGAAGGCAATGACCACTCATTACAACCAGGTGCCACTCCTGTCAGCTACGAACAGAAAACTGAGGCTACAGTTTTCAGGGCCAGAAAAAATTGAATAACAGAAAACAGAAAAGTTGTTTCCTGGTCTGACAAGTCTCCACTTTTACGTTTGGATGGTAGAGTCAGAATTTGGTGCAAACAGCATGCTAGCATGGATCATTGGTTGGTGGTGGTGTTATAGTGTGGGGGATATTTTGGGGGGACACTTTGACAACTGAGCATTGCTTAAATGCCACAGCCTCAGGATTGTTGTTAGCCATGTCCATCCTTTGATTACTAAAGCGTTCTGATCTTCGATGGCTGCTCCCAGTTCAGATCATCTCATACTGTTTTCTTGAACATAGCGGTGAGTTCAAATGAACTCCACAGCCACCAGATCTCAATCCAGCAGAGCCAGTTTGGGATGTTGTGGAACGGGAGCTTTGCATCACGGATATGCAGCAACTGTTTGATGCTCTCATGTCAGTAAGGATCAAAATCTCAGGAATGTTACCGGCCCCATCTTGAATCTATGTCACGAAGAGTTCGATCATTTCTGAAGCTAAAAGGGAATCTAACACATTACTAGCGAGGTATACCTAATAAAGTGTCTGTTGAGTACATGCAGACACAATCGGAGAAAAGCAGTGGATCTGACACAGGTTAAAGAGGAGTTCCAGGTTTTGTATCTTCAGAGGGAGCTTCCCAAAAACTGCCTCAAGTTTATTAGAGTTTGAGAGAAGGTGCAGTCTACCAGGCCACCTTCTAGCAGCTGAGGTACCATGGCTGCCGTTTTATGTCAAAATCTCAGTTATAAAAGCCTTTTTTGTTGAACAATACCCTTAGTCATGCTGCTCAGTCTGCTCACATCAAAATTTTGCATTACGCACATGCTGTCTCATGGTTATGCACATGTACAGACGCTGAAAAACGCCTACAGAACAACTGAAAGCACCCTGTCATCAGAAATATCATAATTTAGCGGCATAAACAAGACATTTCTTTCATTATTCTCGTCACGTAGGGGTGAAAGTTCCTATTTTCTCCACGGGCACAGTAGCAGGTTCAAATATCCAATTCAGGCGAATGGTTACTGAGAGGCTATTTTTAGCTCACAGATAGCGGATTCTCCTATCAGCTTAGATGACCACCCTTGAATTCATAAAGCATTGCCCATGTCCTTTAGCCGGAGCACCAACCTTGACAAGAGCTCTTAAGGTATAAAGATAACAAATCTATCCTGTCAGTCTGTTTTTTTACTGTTTCCCAGCCCAGATTTAGGGAGCCTCCTGCAGTAGCTGTAACATTAAGATAAAAAAAATATCTGAATATAAGCAAGTCCTCATAACGACCATCATTACATTCCACTTATTCTCTTTTAACTTAAGTGTTATGTAATTCTGTGCACAAAAATAACCCTTTAATTGGGAATATTCATGTATCCGTCTGGTCCGTCCTATCTGTAATGCTTTGATTATATGCCACTCTACGCTCTGCCTCTTCAGATGCTTTGTCTCGGCCTCTAACATGGAAATTTAGACAATTAATGTTCTCCAGAGCGGCGGTGCATTAACAGCCTAAATTTTTGTCTTGTTCGTTGAGATTTGTGTTTGATGAAAAGGTGCAGAGCTGCAGGTTTTGGCCGTTTGGACAACTATTCATGGTTTCACATTAAACCAGAGCTACATGTGGACGT